GCTGTTATTTAATTAAGTATATAAAGAAAACTAAAATTTTAATGACATGTGAATAACTGTGTTATTACTTTATATTAAATTTGGCGCCATTTTAGAGAATTATCGCCATTTTTAAATTTAACAATTGTTTCTTGGCAACACCGGATGTTGGGGTATTTCGCATTTGTATACCACCTAGAACCATTTCCGGTTGTTGCCCGCTGAAACGGCCCAAAGATTGTACGCCATTATCACACACTGACGCCACAGCATATTATTCCAAACGTTTTTGTGGATTTTTCCTACTTTTCATCAGATTTATTCATATTTGAAATTCTATAATGAGTGACATTGAGGTAATGTTCATAATTCCTTCCAAAAGTACATTTTTTAAGTAAAATATGATATACACTGCGTTTGTAACGACATGCGGCTGACCACAGCCATTATTGATCCATCACCGTTTAACTACATTTTACATATATGTTATGATTTTACTGATTTTCTATCATTTTCTAATAGTTGATGAATTATACATTTTATTATAAATAAGTTAGTATTCCTTTTTCGTCATATAATGTACTACATATTATAAATATATCTGTTTTTTAAAGACTGTAAGGTTAAGCTTACAAGTCAGTTTTTGTGTTCAGAGAAGTTTACTTTCATTGTACGCATATTGTAATAAATTATTTCGTAAAATGTGAATTTACATAATAATATCAGTATAAACGTGTATAATTTCCAACAAGCTAAGAATATGAATTCTTATTAATTTATAAGTTAAAATCAGAGTTTTGTGTAAATATATGATAATTTTGTTTACAGCGAAGTGGTAGCCGTAGTGCAAGTCCTAGACGACCAAGAACTGCAGACGGTGGTTTAAGGGACTCACGTTCACATTCAAGATCACGTAAATCACGTGAACGTAAAGAATCTCATAGACCAGTAAAAGAGTATTCAAGATCACGAAGTCGTTCTGTATCAAGAGGAAGAAAATCATATCGCAGCAGCAAGTATGCTAGTGCAGGTCACCGTGGTAGTAGTCGCAGTCGCAGTCGTTCTCCTTATAGGGGTGGACGTTACTCTCGAAGCCGATCTCGATCCTACTCTCGCTCTCGTTATTCCCGCGAACGTGACAGGAACATCTATCGTTCACACTCTCGTAGTCCAATGTCATCTAGACGAAGACATGTTGGTAACAGGGATAATCCCTGTCCTTCTCGATGCTTAGGTGTATTTGGACTTTCTATTTTCACAACTGAACAACAAATTCATCACATCTTTTCAAAATATGGACCTGTTGAACGAGTGCAAGTTGTAATCGATGCAAAGGTACCTAAGCAATAACGTATAATAAACATTAGTATAATGTGTTTACATTATTTAAATTTATTTAACGCGGCAAGACTAACATTAAGTCAGCATACAACCCTCTAATTTTTTATTAAGGGGAATAGTAAATAGTGCCAGAGATTTAGAACATTCATGCATTAAGTTTATATGAAATGTTAAAGGCCTCTGGTTACATGTACTTTCAATTTTGTTAATGTAAAGAATAGAGTAACTTTTGCAGTCAGTTTGAAAATATGATTTTTTTTGTTTAGACTGGACGATCTAGAGGATTCTGCTTTGTATATTTTGAATCATCTGAAGATGCGAAAGTAGCCAAAGAACAGTGCACAGGAATGGAAATTGATGGCAGAAGAATAAGAGTAGATTTTTCAATCACGCAGAGAGCTCACACACCCACTCCTGGAATTTATATGGGAAAACCTACACATCTCCATGACAGAGGTTGGGATGGACCTAGACGTAGAGAGTAAGTTTACCTTATCTCAGTATATTACAGTACAATTGATAAAAAATTTAGAAAAAAATACTTATGCTATTGACTTTGGAAAAGCAGCAGTTACAGAGGAAGTTATAGACGTTCGCCAAGTCCGTACTACAGTCGCCGACGTTCACGCTATGACAGATCCAGATCGCGTTCCTACTCACCACGTAAGTTTACTTTTTGTCATTTGCATCATCTAATATAAGCAGTCTACATGGATATGTGTCTCCTTTGAAATAACATTTATATTTCAAATCATACAATTAACTCTCCTCATTTAGAAAAATACAATACTAAAAACTCATTGATTTGATATTGTATAATTCGCCAAAACTTACAATACCAACCATGCGTACAAATTTTAATTTTCGATTATTTTATTTAATATTGCATTTCAGAAGTAATACACGAATGCATGTTAAATTACATGTAATAATATAACTTAATTGTAAGTGTGATCATTAGAACCTTATAAAGATTTAACGACTGTTACATATAAACCTATATGCATTATTAACTATTTTATTAATACCTATAACAGTCTTTTAATACGTGTAAAATTTGAAAAAGGACTTTTAATATTGTATAAAGTAACTTTTTATTTTCATTAGATATACGTATTTTACAGTCGGTTGCTTTTAAAAATAAGTATTCTTATGTTTGAACTAAAAAGAAATTCTTGAAATTGTATTTCTTCATAAAAACATATCATCCTTAATACATGACATACATGAATGTTAACATATAAGAAAATATAAAGCAGGAGACATTACATGTCATTATACTCACACGGCACGAACAATTGAATGTACAGATTTGTAACACACGAAACAGTATTTCTTGTGATTTTAAAGTATTATTATGTTAATATTCGTAAGTTCGCGATCAGACGTTTATAACAGAAGTTCTTAATTTAGATTCATATTTTCGTAGACCGCTTATATTTAGTTCAGACAAGATGTTTAAGTACAAATAAGTAGTTAAATTAGCAAGAATGGAAGACAGGAGCATCAAGGAATGCATCCAATAAATCGTACGGTAGTAACTAAGTGTAACCCATAACCTGGGTCAAACAATCATAGTTTTTGTTGCTTAATGAATTTCAGGTCGGTATTAAGTGACACGAGTGTGATGCGAGAGGCCAGGTGTTTGGGAGACCATTTGTGTGACTTGACCCTTTGACCTCAAATTTCTTCTAACAATACTGTACTGGGTCAAAAAATGCAAAAACTACATTCTCACTACTGTTCTTACCTTACCTAATTCTGCATCATATGCAATTAATATATGGCATTTAAATTACGATATTGTACAATATCAATTAATGAGATAACTTGATAATATGCAAAGGAGTGTAGCATATTCTTTACATGAAAACAGTAAGGTTAGAATGGACACGAAAAACCTTATTTTCATAATATTTCTACCATTTCCTAACAGTTTTATGAAGATAAGGTTTACGTTATTGTAATCATAATGACTATAAATGTGAAGGTTGGAATATAATTGAGTTTCTATTTTTCTTTGAGAATTTGATTATTTACTTGAAAGTTGTATTCCAGCCATTTGGACATTAAATGCCACTGACAGAAAGTGGTATGAATCTGAAAAATGTGGTATTCCTTAATGTTTATATATAAAAAGCAAAAAGAAAATATATCTATATATATATATATATCTATGTATATATATATATATACATGTATATATATAAAGAAAAAGAAAATGAAACACATTACACACAGAAAAGAACGAAACAAAAAAACAAAAATAAAATTAAAAATAGAAGTAAGTTCTCTAACCTGTTTGTTTGTTTATAAGGTTTTGAATCAAGAGGTATTGGATGATAGAGGGAAGTTTGAAGTTTCACTCTGAAAAAATGAAAGTTTTGAAAAGTCGAAGACAAGATATCTGAAGATGTTTGTCTTGCTCGAATTTCGAAGATCCAAAGGTTTTTCGCGCTTGTGACAAAGAATATGATCCAAATCACATTCATTTCCGGCTGAGAAGTCTCAAGCCTAGAAGAACTGCAAGCACTCTATAAAAAGCAAGCCTCAAGACAGTAAGAAATCGTTGATCGTCAGGCCCCCGACCTGGGACAAGCCAGTGGTTGGGGGTGAAACTGGCCGAACGTTTCAGAAAATGTTCAAGAAGCATCGAAATCTTTTATAAGTAGGGAAGAGCGTAAGGTGCTCCAAGGTTTATACCGATCATATTCTTTATCAGTTGGTTTGGTTACATGGTATATTCGTAATTAGGTGTTCATGAAATAAATAAACGTATACACCTTCGCCCCTATTCCCTCCACCATCCCAAAACCTCCTACATCCTTTAAGAATGATGTCTGATTGTTTTCATTTTGTATAGGAATAAGCAGCGATAATTCATATTGAAACAGCTAATAAACAGTGTTTTTAATATAAATGATTAATTATTTGAAATTTATTTTCGTAATGGTAGAAATTTGAATATTGCGAACTGAATATTTTTCTCATAATTAACAAATATTTCGTATGCGAGTACATTTTTTAGTCTTTTAATTATGAAGCAACAAAATTAATTTTTTAATACAAATATTCTTAAGGCGTGCATTAAAAATGTTTTAAATTCAAATTTGTCTGCTATCGGTAGTATGTAAAACATGAAGTATTCTTAAATGTTATCTCATATATTTATGACCATTCAGTTGATTATTTCAGTTATTTGTGAAGACAGTTAATATTACTTAAAAATAATTTTTATAGTATATTTGATACATTATATTTAAAAAATATATTTTGCTCGTTTTTACAATAAATCGAACTCTTCATGAAAGTAAACTTAATCTTTATTAAAACGCTTTCATAGAAATCCAGACTTATTATTGTGGGTCCTGCAACACCATATGTGTGATTAAAAGATTAGAAAACATGGAATACTTTGACGTCGGTTTGTTATTGAAAATATGTTTAATTAGTATAGTAACCGTGAATTGTAATGCAGCTGCACCTAAAGAACCTTATCAAAGTCAAATACCTACACAAGGATTATACAATGCCAGTGATAATGTAGTTATCTTAAATGTGACTAATTTTAAGTCATCTGTTTATGAAGACACTAAAGGATGGTTAGTCGAATTTTACAATAGTTGGTGCGGCTTTTGTTTTCGATTTGCACCTCTGTGGAAAGCTTTTGCTAAAGATGTTTACGGTAAATATTCTAGTTGTTTCGAAGCATACGTTTATAAAGTATCTAATATTAAATATTTTAAGAAATTCTAAAAAAATATCTGTATATATTACTGTAAAAGGTTACTTTTCATATTTATTAATTGATTTTCTTTATATAATATAATTATCTTAAGTAAAATTGCAAATTTATACAGTTTTGGCAGTTATGAAACAATGCTTTATTAAAATTTAATAGAATTAGTATTTTTTTCACCCTAATTCATCCTTTAAGTTTTCTTTACTTTCTAATTTTATAAAATAGTCTGCAAAAATGACAATTTTTATAAATTTTCTATATTTCAATTATAAGATGTTTCTCAATTTTCTTTTGTTTTCATCAATCCTATGCATGTTTAAATAGTAAACAAAAATTATATGATTCTACACAGAGATTATTAAATAAATAGTTTTTAGATAAGTATCTATGATTACACAGTATATTTGAATGTTTTATTCTAACTTAATTTAGTTTTAAACTATGTTTACATTATTTTTATATGTTATGGACTAAACGAATCATGTTTTAAATTTATAAGATTTATTAAAGTACAGTTTCTATTAAATTAAACATACCTTATAAACATTTCATTTTAGTCATTCTTTGTAGGATGGAAAGATATAGTAGCAATCGCTGCAATAGATTGTGCGGATGATGATAACAATCCAATCTGTCGTGAATATGAAATTATGCATTATCCAATGCTTAAATATTTTTCTGTAAATGCACATACATCATCAATGGGATTAGCAATGGAAGAGTATGATAGTATCAATGAGCTTAGATATAGTTTAATTAATTTATTAGAAAATGAACAACAAGAAGGTCGTGGTGTTTCATGGCCTAATATAACACCATACAGGTATGTTATTATAGATATTTATCTAATATACATTTATATTTTTAACATTAATTCATTCTTTCTCAAATCTCATAGGAATTACGATACTACAAGTATTTGGAAAGGTGTACCAAATACTGTAAAGTATTTTTTTTTATTGTTTGAAAAAACGGACTCGCACTTAGGAGCTGAAGTTATATTAGACATGCACAAAATTCCAACATTACAAATAAGGAGAGTAACATCTGAAAATGAATTATTATGCGAGACAAATAAGATTACTAATTTTCCAAGTCTTATAGTTTTTACTCGTAATGACACACAAAAATCTCTTAAAATCAGAATACCTACTAGAGAAGGCACTTATGGCACTATTATGCAATACATGATTTCGAAAGGTGAAAATATTAATGAACAAAGTTTTACAAAGAATCGTTCTATAGAAACAAGTCACAAATCAAGTACCCAGACTTCAAAGCAACTGCAGGGAACAGAAAAATCAAAAGATATAGAAATAAATGATGATTACTTATATCAATTGGATTTAGAGAATACTTTGAAATATTCCATCAGTCATGAAATTCCGCTACATAAAGTAATAAATGGAGAAAAGATGGATGCGCTAAAAAACTATTTAGATGTGTTAGCTGATTATTTTCCTCTAAGACATGGAAATATCTTCTTAGAAACTATTCGTGATATTATTAAAAAGAGGAATGATATATCAGGAGAAAAATATAGTCAAATAATTAAATCTACAGAAGAAGAAATGTTGCCCATATATTCTGGACCTCCACAGTGGATTGGATGTAAAGGAAGCAAAGAAGGATACCGTGGTTATTCTTGTGGTCTTTGGACAATGTTTCATATGTTAACAGTTAATTTTGCCATTGAACACAAAGATTCTAAACACGAGCCACGAAAGATATTGGAAACTATGCATGGGTATATAAAACATTTCTTTGGATGTGCTGATTGTTCTGAGCATTTTGTAAAAATGGCTGCAAAAAATAAAATATTTGAGGTGTCGAATGTTAATGATAGTATTCTATGGTTATGGTCAGCTCACAACGAAGTAAATGCAAGATTGTCGGGCGATAGTACAGAAGATCCGAAATATAAGAAGATTCAGTATCCTGCAGCAGAACATTGTGCAAATTGTAAATATGAAAATGGTACTTGGAATGAGGAAAATATTTTACATTATCTTAAGACAAAATATAGTTACAAAGGAATAAATTATTATGGTTCAATTGACAAACGTAAAGATAATAATGAGAAAATGAAAATAAGACAAGAGAGACTAGTATTGAATAAATATGTGAACAGCAAAAAGCTTGGTTGGGATTTTACAATTTTTGATATAAGTATTTGCGTTGTTTTATATGCTACATCTACTGTCATACTTATATTAGTCTGTGTAAAATTTGCTGTTAAAAGAACTTACAAAAAGAAAACTTATGTCAACTTGCTTGGTAGAGTATGACTTTTATTTTTCATCATTAAAATTTGTAAAATTAAAAAATAAGTGAGAAAGCGAATAGAAAAATGATTGAAATGTAGTTATGTTTATATATTGTACATATTTTATTATTTTTGTCATATTGTTTTTCATAAGAATGTAATGTTTAACAGTGCAATGTTTTGATTGTGTTTCCACATACTGTTGACTAAAATTATGACACATAAATCTTAGTTATATACATATATATACATATATTTATTCTTTGATACAATACTGTATATTTGAAGTTACTAACATGAAAAACATGACAGTTTTTACATTCAATAACAAAATTTTATATGATTTTTTGTAATAAAATATGTTTTTTTTATAGCAGTTTATTACTTAATCACAAATATATTTGCTTGAAATTTTGATATAGATATAGGATATTAAACATTTTTATGTTAAAGTAGAAGCTATTTAGTAACTGATAGTTAGATTTATTACACAACATATGGAGTAATACATATATTTTCAAACTAGTCTTGTCAATGTACAATTATATTGTCATTTATTTAAATAACTTCCAATTTTCATAAGTATGAAGATTTACAGAAATGTTGCCAGACTTTTATTACATGTAAATATTGAAATTAAACTCATTTACTCCTACATTAAATGCGTATCCATTACATTATTCATTAACATCTATTAATTTGTTTAGTGAAGATATATAAATGACTTAATGTATGTACATCTAAATTCACAATTTTGTAAATAAAAATGATCATGATACAATGATAATAATTTGTATGTGTCTTAATTTCTGTCAATGATACATGTTTAAATTGTAAACACATAATAAAGATTAGTAACTTTAACAAATGTTGCATTTGTTTTTATATCATTTTAAAAATGTAGTCATTTATTTTAGATTTGTATGTATACATTTATAAATACACAATTAATACTTATTTACTCTTAGGATTTGAGCATTGCCATGAATTTAATGTATCCCATATTATACCGTTATGTGGTAATTGGGATGTTATATAAGGAAGTATCCATGTGAGATACCATCGTTCACCTAATACTTCTTTTATATTTTGTTTTGAACCTAAATTGTAAATATGAATATTTTTGTTGCTTTCATTAGCTACGCTACCATTTAGGATTAAACGAAAGTGATAAATGCATAAAATACCGGTATACAACATTCCTACAGTAGATACAATATATAACATTAAGTAAAATTGATCTATAGAGCCATCAAAGCCAAACACGAAAATTGCTAACGGAAAAACAATTTTTATGATTGACATGGGAAACTCAAAATGTATCCTACTCCAAATAAAAACATTATTAAAACAAAAACCATATGTTGTTGCTACAAATAAGTAAAAAAGAAACATGACAAAGTATCGATGGTTATAATGACCAATACAACATCCAGTAAAAATGCAATGATGATCCCTCTTTAAAATACAAATGTTACATATTGGGCAGTGCCATGAACGTGGAGGTGCAAGTGTTTCACACGAAGCGCACAGTCTCCAACCATTTTTAGTATTTGCAGCACTTATTGGCATAATATCTCTCCTTGTACTTGTATCGCAAAAGACTACATATGTGAAATTTCCAACTATGTTCAACATGATGAAATTTCCAAGGAGAAAATTTAGTGTGTACGGTAATGATCCAAATCCGTATACAGCCGGTAAAACCACCCATAATTCAAACCAATATATCAGAGGTACAATGGTTACTATAAAAGTCATTGAAAGGAAATCACTCAAAGTACGGGGCCAAATCTTTTTTCTCATAATCATTTTTAGTGATTTCTTCTCTTCTTTCCGTGGAACACGTGATTCTACTTAGCAGACACAACCACCTTTCGTGCATGCATGTTCATTTCACAACATAGTTTCACATTAACCTAAAAGTTAGCTATAGATCATTCCTTGTTTTTCTTCAATTTTTTAAAATTCTTATGCATATTACTTAATATTTTTGTAAATCATGTACTTACGAATTATTTGAATGAATTTATTACTTTGTATTCTGTATTAAAACATTTGGAACTTCTTGTATACGCGCGAAGTTTAACCTCTTTCCAAACTTCATTCCATATTCATTGTCTAACTTCAGACGTGTTTCTTATTCGATTGAATTTGAATATGTGCGGTTTAAATTTAGTGCATAAAACACAATGTTAAATAAGTTTAATTATTCTATAAAATGCATTAATGTTTATTTATAGACGCATGATTAAACAAAAATTGTATTATTAGTTTTTTACTGAAAATAATAACTTTGTAAACAGTTTGGTGCATAGTTTTTAATAATTATTAAACAATATGGAAAGCACTGAAGAATTTCCATTCCCCTTTCCACCGTATCCTATACAAAATCAATTTATGAAAGAATTGTACAATTGTTTAGAAAATGCTAATTTAGGAATCTTTGAAAGTCCAACAGGTACGGGTAAATCTATGTCAATTATTTGTGGTGCTTTGAAATGGCTAATTGACCATGAAGAATTACAAAGAAGCCACTTAAATACTGCAATTTCTCAACTTGATGAGAAAATGAAAGAATGTTCTAATGCATCTGATAATTGGGTATTTGTACAGACTGAACAAATGCAATTGACTGTTGAAAAACAAGCAGTTACAAAAAAATTAAACAGTATTCTTCAGTATGAACGTAAAAAGAATGCACTTAAAGAAATAGTAAAACAGACAAATAATAAGAAAAACCCACACAGTCAAGTGAAAACTAGTAATACAAAGCAAAATAAAGAAACAGAAAATGAGTTATTACTTGACAAGTTAAATGTACAAGAAGAAACCATAGAAGAAGAATTAGTTTTAGAAGACATAATTCATGATTCAGATAACTATGAAAGTGAAGAGGAAGAAGAAGAAGTCTATGAAAACACTAAAATCTTTTTTTGTTCAAGAACTCATTCTCAACTATCACAGTTTGTAGGAGAATTAAAGAAAAGCCCTTATTCAAAAATTGTGTCTGTTGTTACATTAGCGTCTAGGTATAATTCTTAAAAATATACTTTATATTTTTTACAAATGAATATTACTTATGCTTATTCACTCTCATGTCCGTATACGTGTAAATATTTTTAGGCAAAATTATTGTATTAACAAAAGTATTAGAAAATTGAAACACTTAAATGTAATGAATGAATATTGTTTGCAATTGCAAAAGAAAAATACAACAGCAAAAAGTGAAAAAGATTTGAAAAGAAAAAAAGTCACAACCAATTGTCCATTTTTGCCAGGAAATCAAGACTTATTGATAGGAGAAGCTGTAACACAAATTCAGGATGTTGAAGAAATAGCACAGAAAGGAGAAAACATTAAAACATGTGCATATTATGCATCGAGAAAAGCAATTCCATATAGTCAGATTGTACTAATTCCATACAATTCTATATTGCATAAAAATACTAGAATTAGTTCTGGAATTAAATTAAAAGGAAACATATTAATAATTGATGAGGCCCATAATTTACTTGAGGCTATTGAAAGAATGCACAGTGTTATGATTACAGGTAGAAATATATTGCACTGTTACAGTCAACTTTCACAATATCAAAAAAGGTATCATAGAATTTGCGTGTATTCGCGTTTTATTATTATTTATTATTATTTATTATTATTTATTATTTATTATTTATTATTATTTATTATTTATTATTATTTATTATTTATTATTATTTATTATTATTTTTTATTATTTATTATTTATTCTATTTTAGATTTCAAGCTCTGTTTTCTGCTAAAAGCGTTTTAAGCTTAAGTCAGTTGAGTTTTTACTTAAAGAAGCTTTTAACTGTATTTAGTGCCACTACAAAGTCAAATCCTAATGATATTCTCAATATAGAAACAACTTCAAAATTGTATAAAGTTGAGGAGTTCGAAGTTATGACAGGAATTGATACTGTTAATATATTTGAGTTATTAAAATTTATTAAGAATTCTAAATTGTGTCATAAACTGCAGAGTTTTATGGAACAATATGGAAATAAATTAAAAATTCATAAAAATCGTACAAAAACATCTGGTGTATCGCAATTCTTAAATTCAATTAAGAATAAAGACTCAGAACACAATGTATCTGACAAAAATTCAATATCCGATGAAGAACAATCAAACAATCCATTGATATCAATTGTGAGTTTTATGGAATGTTTGCAAAGTAGTTGTAGCGATGGACGCATATTTGTAGTTCCTGGTTCAACTATTGGTCAAAGTACTATAAAATTTCTGTTATTAAATCCAGCAGCCTATTTTTATGATATTGGTATGAACATAAGTTTAAATATGCGTATATTATTGTTATTCAAATTACTTTACATATATTTAATGCTTAACTATTCATAGTACAAGATGCCAGATCTGTAATATTAGCTGGTGGAACAATGGCACCAATGGACGAATTTATAGAGCAATTATTTATCGCAGCAGGCGCAGCACCTGAAAGAATTGTCACATTTTCATGTGATCATGTAATACCTCAAGAAAATATAACATGCAATATTGTAACACATGGCCCAACTGGTGTTGAATTTGAGTTCAATTTTCGAAATCGACAAAACATCACATTGGTATACATTTAATAAAAAAGTTCAGTACAATATAAATTATTATTCATAATATATTTTACACTTTAAATATTTCAGTTAAATGAACTGGGCAGAGCATTAGTAAATATATGTAATATTGTACCAGCTGGAATTGTAGTATTTTTACCTTCTTATAATTTTGAAGAACTGCTGTACAAACACTTAGATAAATCTGGTATTATAGCGAAAATTTCTTCAAAGAAATGTGTTTTTCGAGAACCCAAATTAGCTTCTCAAGTATTTTTTTCATTTATATAATTGTAGCAAATTGTTGTTAAACTTTTGTATAAATTATAAATTTTACAGGCAAATGAAATTTTGGAACAGTATTCGCACCATATTAAAAAGCCACAAAGTCCACAAAACGGATCATTATTATTTAGTGTAGTAGGTGGTAAACTAAGCGAAGGTTTAAATTTTTCTGATGATTTGGGTAGATGTATTATAATTATAGGAATGCCGTACCCGAATGTTAAATCACTGGAACTACAAGAGAAAATGAAATATTTAAATGAAAACATTGTATGTACCTATTCTTTTTATAGTAAAATGTAATGTAGATAATTTCAAATCCTTATTTTTTCTGTTTACTAGAAATCAAATGCTGGACAAAACTTCTATGAGAATGCTTGTATGAAAGCAGTGAATCAATGTATTGGACGAGCCATCCGACATATTAATGATTATTCATCAGTTGTTTTATTTGATAAACGATATTCCCAAAAAACTAAAGCGCTTCCACATTGGATTCAACGTACCGTAATCACTCATAATACCTTTGGTAGCATGATCGGTACTATAGCTAAATTTTTTACTAGAAAACGAAATGAATGCAATAAAAAATAATTAAAAATCATACTCGAATTCAAACAGCTTTACTTATAAAATGCTGCTTCATAATGTAGTATAATGAAATATATAAATTTATTACATAAAATTTGCAAGTTGTACTTTAAATTTGTATGTCAAATCGTGACAGTAAACTTGACCAGGGTACAATATGGAACATGGAAAATGTGACTGAAAGAATTCATTACATATATTTTTTTAATATTTTTTTATTTTAAAAATTTTAATTATTATGTTTAACATTTGTATTTAAGTAATGTACTTACATGATGTATTGCATCAGGATAATTCTGTGGTTGAATAGTAAAACCACAGTATTTTTTGTAATGGGCTCCTTGTTTTCCTAAAATAAATTCTAACTTTTTTGGTTTGGTAATTATTCCTTTCCATGATTTTTCAATTTTTATTTCTTCTTCGTCTTCAGTGTCATTCATATAACTTTTAATACTTCCCTCTACCTCTTCTTTCTCCTGTAACAAAAATGAAAATAAATTTGTAAAATTGACAAAGCTTTACTGTTTACAATGCTAAAATATGGTTAATAATTATAATTACTTCATCTTCTAATAAGTCTGTACTATCAGATATCTGTGAAATTGTAGGCGGTATATGACCACCAGTATAAAACTGTACTCCACATTGATTAGAGTAGATTTCTAAAACACTAAATATATTTAAAATTATACCATTTTCCAAGAATAGTTTAGCATTAGTAATTTTATTCATTTGTACCGTCCAGTTTTCACATGCCATGCTTTTGCAACAAATAAACTTCCAGATTGTCCATTTTTTGTAACACAAAAATTATGGTCATAACCATCTCCAGATGGTACCTAAAAATGTTCTCAGTATTTTAAAAATATAATAACACTTAGTCCCTTTGTACCTTCTCCAAGTATTCTCCTAAACATCGTGGTATTCTAAAGTCCATTACTGTTCCACCTACACTACGAATTGCACCTGTTGGAACAGGATCTATATAATCTGCAAATGTCCATTGATCACAATTAAATAATATTTTATGTTTTCTCAATTCTGTTTCTCCTGCATCCTACAAAGGACTTACTCACATTAAATTGTTAAGTAAATGTCATATTTTAAAATATATTATTACTTACATGCCCAGCTAAATTAAACATTGAACCATATGACAAATTCACAACTGTTGGTTTGGATGTTGTTGCTCGCATACATATATCCAACTTATTATCTGCAGTTAATTTGAATCTTACTGTAGTTAACACAGCACCTGGATAGCCTTCTTCTCCATCTGGGCTTAAATAACTCATGACAACTGCACATCCACTAATGTATGAATCCCAAATTTTACGTCCAAATCCATTTACCTGGAAAAAGTATACAATAATTAAATTATAAGATAATGATTATACGTGGTATTGGTGATTAATTTACTCCTCCATGTAAATGATGTGTTCCATTATAATCATTTCTGCTTAATTGATAATCCCTGTTTCTAATAGTAATATGACCATTTTTAATACGATTTGCACATCTACCTAGTATACATCCAATAAATGGATTTGTCACAGGATTCATGTATTCTAAAAAATTCAATCATAATTTAGCAATAAATATTAACATGACTTAGTTGTATTAATTATAAATGCATGACATTGGACCTTTCAGATTATCAAATCCAAGAACAATATCAGCAGAATGTCCATATTTGTCTGGACATTTTAAACATATAATTGTAGCACCCCAGGTAATGATGACAACTTCCATTCGATTATCATTTGTGATAGTGTATGATTTTATTATTTTTGGTACAGGATTGACAAGCATTGGACCTTCATTATTATCTAATTATTGTAATTCATATTATACATAAATTATCTTCTATTTTGTGCTATATATCAATAGACAATTAAGCAACCTACCAACCCAGATTTCTCCAAAAATTCCTTCTGTAATTGTTATATTTTTGCAATTGCATCCATGAGAATCCATGTTGAGACTGATCTGATCAATTTGAAAGAATGCCAATATAACGAATAGTTCATAGTATAAAAAATAATGCAATAATTTTTTATATTTGAAATTTTTGTTAATTAATTATATTTGTCTTCTTTCTGATTTAGACAAAGGAAAGTCACTTGTTTTTTAAACATGTAAATAAATATAAAAACGTAAAATATTTGTTATTACGAAAATATATGAAAGAAAAGATTTTTTTGCTGTTATTTGAAATGATTTATTAATAATAATAAAGCATCACCTACAATCTGTGATGCTTAAATGTTACAATAATTGTAATAATTAATATAATATATATTTTCCAGTTACTATTTATAATTTATATAATTAATATTTATAGAATAATGTACAATGTATGGAAAAATACATGAATTTTTAGTGCAAATTAGACACCGCATCAATACGTCTCCCCTTCATTTTTTGTTTAAATTTCATTATATTTAAACATGTCGAGTAAAAAATTGAAGACGATATTCATTATTGCATTTTTTAAATGTATTTACCTTTTTAAATTTTGCATATTATAAATTGAATATTTGTTGTTTTCTTTCCCGTATCATTCTATTTGTCATATCCATATTTATTGATGGTTATGCAGTGCCCAATATCTCGTTTGGCAAACTATATTCACCACAGAAAATTCTCTGAAATTCCTATCTCATCATACAATGTTTTTAAGTTATAATACACAAAATGTTTTTTCTCAAGCTTTGGGTTCTGCATTTCATTACTTTTTAAGGCGCACACCAAAGCAGTCATTTGTTACTTAAATACATGTGGAACACATTGCACTTAGCTTATTAGTAATACTCTTAGAACTACAGAGTAATTTAAAATTTAAATAAATTGTCAGTGATTACGGGTTGCAGTACATTCTACGTCTTCTAAATTTATATATTACAAAAAAATACTGACAAAAATTAATTTCACACACAAATATCGAATACTCAAATAACTGCGATAACTCCTCAATACAAATTGTTTTAAGATGTCGTCAAGCAAAATTATTTAGTATATTATACAACAAATAAACATAAAAAATAGAGGAAATATATCGCAGTAAATACTTTGTGTACATTGAAAGCACACTTGTTTCACAATTATCTTCTTGGTCATAAGTGTTATTGTACAAATTACTAATTTGTAAGCAGCATGCAGTATTATTGTAATTTCAATAAGGAGATATTTACAATTTTAATTTAGACTAAAAGAAACATGTTCAGAACAACAATATTAAATTTTAAATAATTTTTAAAAAAGTGGAAAATAAAAACTAGTTAAAAAAATTAGTTATATAATCGAGTCTTTTAATATATAGTTTTTGAAATGGATCTATTGCTAATATTACATATGAAAGATTACTTTCATAGTAATTACAGTTATTCTGAACATTGTCCTCTCAAAACTGAATCTAATTAATGAAACATATGATCTATGAATGTTCTTTAATGAAATACAAAACTGGATGTTTTCTTACTTTAAGCTAAAGAAGTTATAATATATAAAAAATAAATATAACTTAGAGACTAGCACTGTTGGCAATCATATGCCATTACACAATTGATAGTTGATAGCTGCCTAATATTGTATTTTGTATAAGTAAATTATTGTTACTATCAACAATTACTGATATTAGCATACTAAGATTTCATTAAATATTTTTCAATTACATTGGAAGCATTCTCAATTTTTTTGTGTCTCTTAATATATTAAGTACATGATACTAGCACCGTAGAATATCTTTGTACAGCATAGAAAGGCATACCCATGAAATATTATTCTATAAGTTTCTAATAACATCATAAATATTTCATTAGTAATTGAAGTTTGCAAAAGTTTGAGTATAAACCAGATGAGTTATTTTACTTTATAAGTAACAAACTATAAATATACCAATTTAATGGGTTCACTTTTCCTGCTTAAGAAACACTTACATACATCTTTAATGCTTTATTAATTTTACTTTGAAAAAAATTTTATTGGTGAAACGTTTAACAAATCTTTTGATAAATAAAAGTAATTTTATTAATGAAAATGATTCACTACACTTTCAAAAGCTATGTTTTATAAGTTTATTATATATTAAACTCCACCAAAAAAATTTTCTTCAAAGTAAACCCTTTCTTTTTCCTTTACCTCTACTGTATTTTATGTACATTGTAACATATCCTACAATACTGATTATCATTCAAGAAATTATTGCAAAAACATAGAATTCTTGAGAAAAAAATCTGTATCGTTTTTTATATATAACATTCTAAATGAGGTCAAAGAAATAAATGAATTATTTTGATTAGATGGAGCATGGCGTAGAATATACGCAACATGTAAATAAGTTTTGATTGATTTGTAAGTTTAATCTAAATTATTTAATTGTTACTTTATGTTCTTGAACCAATAAATTAGATACATATTTGTATAAAAAACCGAGTTTAGTTAATATCTTTTTAGTAAAGAGAAATAAAGGTATAGATCAGAATACAGAGCGTTACAAATGCATTTCTTTTCTTTTTTTATATAATCAGTGTAAGAAGGAAAGAAGTATATTTCTTTTAATACTCAGTATTCTGATTTCTTATAAACAATTCAAGAATAAAATAATTTTTGAGGCACTCGTGCACTTAAAAATCCAAAAAATATTTTAGATTATACTGTACAAAGTGTGATTTATATAAAGGAATGTATCGACCATTGTTACATTGTTAAACAAATAGTAACTATCTAATAGATTTTTATATGTACAATGTTGATTATGTATATGGAGTGTTTTTGTTCTAAAACAATTTTCAAAGTATATCACACCTTAAATGGCTATATACTTTTTATAGCTATTATTAAGTATGTTAAACACTTTTCTACAGGTACGCGAATCACTTGAATGCATACTGTTTTCGTATATAAAAGAAGTGTCGTTTTAACTGCACATGGCATACTAAATTAAGTCTATTATGCTAGTAGCTCACAAATGCATAAAAAATCCCACTGTACAAATTTCTCACATGTGTACCTAGTGCCATGGTATTTGTGTAATGATTGAAAGATAGTAAAATAATATGTAACACCTGACACAGTGTAATGGCAAACAAAAAGATGCATGTCTATTATCATACTTATGCATTACAAATATTTCATATTTATATAAAAAAATCTGTGTACACAGGAAAACACTATGATATTAGATTTGTGTTACCTATTACTCGCAGTGTAAAACTAGTCTATTTAATACACTTACATGTATTGTCATGAGATAATGATAAAAGAAATTATATGATTTTACATGTTTAAAAGCATAATAAAATAGATGACAGAAATCTCACTGAGCATACTCTAATGAAGCGCTTTCTGAATTCTTTTGTTAGATAGCGCATTTATTGCGACTACGTATTTATTCTTATACGCGTGGATCGTTGTTTTCAATCGTAATAACAGTTAATTTATTTTTTAGCAATTTTATGTTTAGATTCGCGTGTTTTAATAATAATTTCTTATCTATAGGGATCATTAGTGTTTTCCTGTCTACTTGTGTTTATAAGTTACTATTTTTTTCACACTATACAATAATTAGATTTAATATTTTATTTTTAGTAAATATAAATTTTGATGGAATGTAAACTATTATTAAGATAAATATATTTAATAGATATTTTCTTTTGTATATGTATGCGAGTACTTAAAATGGATACAACTGACCCTTAATGCACTTGCATGAGTACACAAGAAACATATAAATCGTCTAACCCAGGTCTATAGTCACATAATTTAATTCTTAGAGAGAGTTCGCAGAAATTAATTTATACATATCATTTCCAAATGAATATGTATAATATAACGAAACATATTATATAACATAATAATGTTTTATATGTGTGTTCTCTGCCAAAACATTTTAATTAACATAGTTAATCTGTTTTAGCTGGATTAAATGTACATACAAATAATAAAATAATAGAAGCAATTACCATCATAAATTCTGAAAATTTGAAGACGAAATGTAATGAATTACTGATAAGTCAGAAAAAAGATCTCTGTATCAAAATGATATAAAACCTTTAATTTTATTTTTATTCAATAGAATAATGAGGTCTTATAAAGTCTTAAATATAATGTAAATTTTTAATGTAAACATAAATTTGGAATTTTTTACACAATTTTATAAGTTCCATTTCAATAAAACTATTTGATGGGGAAATTTTTTTACTGTCATCATATTTGTTGTTATTTTAACAGAAACTACTGAACAGCTTTAGTAACCAATCAAAGGAGATTTTGTTCTATAGATAACTCAATACGTAATGTTATCGCTGTTATAAAATATCAAGTCAATTATCTAAAGGTCTTTCAAGATCACACTAAGAAAAAATTCAAAGAATAAATCTTAAGTAAAGCATAATTGCCAAGAGAAACAAGCTAGTCCAGTTAAAAAACAGGAATCAATTGAAAAAAATATCTTTCACAAAACCCAATACAAAGCCAATCTGACTAGTGTTACCACGTGGCCTTCCGGCACACCATAAGCACTATCTTGCATCCTCTGTTTAAAAGCTTGCGAGCAGAATTCCAGAAGAAACTTTTTAATTTTTTTGTAATTCTATTCTAAATATTTGCACTCATTATAAAATTTATATACATCACAAAATTACAGAAGAATATTTATTTACTGGTACTCTCACTTGCACTGCCAACAACGATCGTAGTCTAATCCAATAATAAGAGTATTAACAATCACCTTTGCGAACTGAATGGATATCAAAAAATACTATTTTAAAATGTTTTCCAAATTCAGAAATCTAAAACTAAAAGTAACATGGATACAAGTCTTAAATAATTAATGTTCCATATAAATAAGAATTCTCTCCTAAAGAAAATCAATTTTTAGCTATGGTTTTTGTTACAACTATTGAGAAAATAGAAAATAATATAATCTAAGGGGCAAAATCGATAAAATCTAAAGCAGTTGTCTATGAGTATACAAAGCTACTATATTATGTCTTCGGTACTTAGATGCTCAGTGCCAACAGTAGATGCAAGATGTGCGGAATGTATGAATAAAATATTTGTAATACATACAATTTAAATAACAGTACATAGTATTGAAAACAATGCAAGATTATACAATCCCGACATTTACACTACTTCTACGAAACATGAGACATACCAGTTTTTTAACAAATTAAAAACAGTCTGATCGAATATAAGAGTCTTTCACAAAGATGTCTCAGTATTTATACATATGGAATGTTATATTCTTACTGTATTCGATGACCTGCATTGATACATGAAAAAATGTCCTGCAGGAGGCAGTGCTTTCAAAATGTGTATCGCAATATTCTCTAGTCATAGAGATTTGATCAATTTCTGCCACGTCAGATACTCTTTGATTTACATAATTCTAATTAAATGTTACTTTCAAGATTGACAAACATTTCGGATTATTAATATCTATATCGTCTTTGTTACTTTAAATAAGCCAATGCTATGACAAAAATTCTCTCTCTAATTCAGAAATACTCGGTTTCCTACTTCTGTTCAACCGTCGGTTAGCTTGTAAAGGTACAGTAACGTCCTGACTTTGTCCATGGACTGGAATATCGAGTAAAGTTTCCCTGTGCTCTCGCGAAATTCCATCCCGATCGAAGGTCACTGGAGAAAATCGAACCCTACTTATAGAAATTTGACTATCCTTAGCTGAAACGTAACTCGAATCTTCGGATGTTAACGAATCTGGGGGAGTAGGATTTGTCGGTGTACCTGAACCCGAATTATTTTTACTAACACTTTTATTTGGAGAGTTGTATGAATAATTAGATCGTTTTAAACTCGATCGTAACCGGCTAACAACCTCTAAATTGCTTGGACGTTCACCCGAGTTTGAATTCGAATCGTGCGAGTTCTGACGTGTCAGTATTTGTGATCCATATTCGTGATTAAGCATACTAGGACTGTACGTTCCTACGTTTGAAATGACATTCGAAGGTCGTTGGTAATAATGTCCAGGTGAGTACAAAGAGTAATCATCCTCATCTTCTAAACGAAACGTTGGATTAACGTTACTTTGACTTGATGTGCTTGCGTTTGAAACGTTTGATGAAGTACGATGATGGGTATACGGAGGAAGTCTTGATACAGGCCGAGCCGGACTATTTATACTGCTCGGATTGTCATAAGCGTGTGGAAATTCAGGGCACTCAAGCATTCTATCACTGAAGGAAAAGAAATATGTGATCATGATATTCAAGAATTGATCAGTGATATTATTAGAAATACTTACTGATAATCTGAAGGTACAAAATACGTTGGTTCTGGTGGTCTATAATATTCTGGTGGAACAACTGTATAAACTGGAGGTCCGTAATCCGGAAACGGAGCAACATTACCCATATATATAGTTGGTACTCTTTCCATTCGATCTACTCTTCCTGTATCATGCGTGAATACGTCTTCATTACTAGTGCTACTGCTCTTTCTTCTAGGACTTGGTGTTGGTGCGTTAGAACCTGTTGTACTACTCGCATAGTGTTGGGGCGAATCCGTAAATCTTAAAGGTTTGTCAGGCATCACACTGGGTAAAAGACCAGGTGCTATACCACCCATGTTACTTAAGAATGGCCTACAGCAATAACGACAATTCTTACTTTTATCTTATATGTTTCAAAAACATTCAAACATAGAAAATAAATACAATTGTAAACAAAATACTTTACCTGTAATGTCTAGCTGGTCCATGATACGTATTATGGGGATAACCACTACTTGAACTAAACTCATAATCAGGCCCAAGATAACCAGAATTGCGATTTGATCCGGTATCTGCTTGAAACCACCATCTTGAAGGTTCATCTTCGGTATCGCCAACTCGAGGATACAATCTTGGATGAATCGGAGATATGTTCGACATTCTTACATCATAGCCAGTAGCTACTCCAGCTAGCATAGCAGCGATATTGTACAATACCAATTCTATTATGCTTAACTTTGGTTTTTTCATTTCTCCATTATAGAGCGTTGGCATTGGAACAGGCATTGGCATGATGTAAGGTCCAGTTAATCCAGGTTTCAAAGGATAGTCCGATGTTACCCAGTCAGATGAGAGATCAGGTGCTACAGCTGTATAATCTACAAAAACAATCAAATTTCTACAATAATAATGGTGGTATTGATGCATATTTATAAAAAGCACGAACATAATATATATGTTTAGATGTTTTTACTTTCCTTTTTACAGTATCAAATTGAAAAAATAGTTTTCCTTTTACTAAAATCTTTTTAGCCTTATTTATTAGAATTACTTATGATTAATTTGGTTTCTTTCTTACCTTTATAAGTTTTCAGAAGTTTATCATAAATGTTAAGTTTATTATATTAAATTTCTAGTAAACTAGTTTAGTATTGTAGTTGCAACATGCTTACGTGTTATTGAATTACTTACAATTATTTTTGTGTACAAGCACAATGCGATACGTGCACTGTATTAAAATATTACATGCTGCATTCTTATTTTAACTATACATTACTATTAATAAATCCTATAAAGCTTATACAATTTTTGTAAAAAACAATTATAACAGACTCACAAAATTCCTATCTTAAAAATAAATCGTATTTGTTAAAAAAATATTCAATCTCTAAAAATAAAGCAGAGTGTAAAGAAAGAAAAAAATAAAAATACTTGTAAGATAGTAAGCATATACTAATTTCAAATAATTTTCTATACCCTATTTTATTTCCTCTTTCTCATTCTTTTAAACTCTTGTTTTATTTTATCTTAATGTTTTGTTTACTCGTTAATCATTTATATGATAAAAGCATAAAAATAAATTTTACATTGTTCATTAAATATAAGTATATAATTACTTAATGACACTTTCTTTTTTATAATAGACTACATTTTACTTTTCACACCAAAATCAAAATAAATAGGAATATAAAAAAATTAATGGAATATTTGTTTACAAATGAGATTGGAAGTTTAGGGTAAGAAAAGGACCAAACCCAATTGGCATTAACAGTTAGGATCCTACTGGAAGCATGCAGAAGGATTCTCTTACGCTCGGCTATTGGCAAAAACGATTAAAAAATTTTAGATGTATAAAAAGCAGATAAAAGGAATTCTATTACTTTTTGTTTTATTGTATAGTTAGTATAATAATCAAAACAATTATACAACACTGAGTTCACTTACAAAATATTTAGTGTATACTTTTTAAACATATATAATTATAGTTATTTACAAACACAATATATTTACTTCAAAGTTGTTGAATGCCACTAAATTACCACAAACCGAGCGTAAAAATTTAGAAAACGAAAAAACAAAATTCAATGTGTCCAACTGAAAAGGTTTTATTGAAAAAATTTCTATTTCTAAATACAAGTGTGCGTGTCGCTCCATGTGTTGAATGTGATGTGTGCAAAATTTCTGAATCTAAAAAATGTAGAGAAACTATGATAATACAGAAATGGAATCGCTGTTAAATTGGGTTGAATAATTCATACAAATCAAAAGTTGATTTAAATGCATCCGAGGCAATGAAGAGAACAATACGACTCTACTCACACAATTAAAACGCGATATAATTTTGATTTCTAAGTCATAAAATCACAACTATAATGGAAAAACAAAAGTTTTCAGAAAATGCTCTTAAGTAAAGGAAACAATTTTTAACTAGATTTTTTATTGTAATGGCAGAAGCACATGATTTCTTTTTCTCATAGTAGTGGGCTGTTAGCTCTGCTTTGTTAGAATGTTATGTACTCCAAACAACATCAGAAAAGAACCAACACCAGAAAGACTGCATTTACATTTTATGTACTCATTAAATTATAGTCCAAATATGGAGTTCTTATCAGTTTAAATTAGGATAAATAATGTTTAGATTACTGGAGGGTAGAAATTACCCTTTATTAAAATATTTTAAAATAACAAAATGGCCATTGTGTAATTTGATAGACATTTGTATTTTAATGAAATTACCTTCATAACAAGGGTATCAATTTATGAGAGTAAAATAAACTTCAATTTTTATCTAATCCCTGATAAAAATTTAAAACCATTTCCTACCAGAAGATACATAATGACAATATGTATCATCCTAAATAAATTCAACCGAATAAAATAATCTTAAACACAACTCTAGCAATGTAAAAAAGAATTTGTAACTGTACATGTATTACTAAATATATATATATATATATTTATGCACTTCGCTAGAATAAACAGCAAATGTAGAAAATCTAACTGATATAATGTACTCATGCACTCCTACAAAAATAACTTTAATCATAATCTACTTAAATAGAATCTAGCCAAAAAAAAGAAAGGAAATCTTTAAATATAAACATAAAAAGGCACTGTCCATGTGAGATCTCTGCTTCACTACAATGCGCAAAATTAAAACCGTTATTTACTGAGACTAATCGTGACAAAGAAAGAAAAACGATCAAGTCTATTACAAAGTGTAAAACTGTTTGCGGCAATGTGAAGAGACTTACGAGTAGGATAGATGCTTTCCTCAGAAAGGCCTGCGGTAAAGAAAATATAGGGTTGTTACTAAAACATATAAAACAGAAAGAAGACATATTTGTGAAATGCGGTTACGAGTTTGAATTTGCTCTGTACGCACATCTCTATCTTCATGAAATGCAACGTCATTTATCACTCTTTTTTTAAAAATTTTTCTGTAACAGAAGTCTTGTGGGACGTGTAAGCGATCGTATTCACATCCTCGGAACTTCTGTGCGAAAGAACATCCCTATGCGATTCAACTAGATCCTTTTTTGATCTGTAATTAGTTGGCGAATTTTGACGATCGCAGTCCTGGATGTAACCAGGTGCGTGCATAATCAAATTGATACTATCAACGTGATCCTCCTCACAACTACGCAAGTATTCGTTACTTTTTGATCGTTGATGTAACTGAGAATTTAAATCGAAGGTTTGACCTACTTGTGGAATGCGTGGCTTCAAACATCCATCCGATACGTTACTAACACAATCAAAAGATGTTGGCGACCTTTTAAACTTATTCTCGTGGAATAAGCCTAAGGAGTTTTTGGAAACAGAACTGTCGTTCGAATGTTCCGAATCAAAATTACAAAGTTCCGACTCAAGACTCTCGAAATCTATCCCCTCTCGGGAGTTTGCTGTTAAGAATTTAGGCATCATGCTATTTTGATCGGAATCACGACGATTCAATTGTGGAATATTTATCGCATTATCTAAAACATTGTACTCTACTTTAACAGCAGTGGCTTTATCGTCAAGTGCATCTCGACTTCCCCACGCCTTCATTTTATTGAAGACTCTTAATGGACTTTTAGACATTCTTGATTTGTGTTGAGATTTTTTGCCGACCGAATTCTCGGGGCTCGATTCTAACCCATCCGCATCGTTGATTTTAATTGTGACAGACATTTTTCGTTCTGCGCTACGTGGAGAGTTCAAGGAGCTTTTCCTTGATCCAGAGGGGGAACGAAAAAAATCAGCGAGAGCAGTTAACCGTGATTCCGAACTATCTCTGCGCTTTGACTCTTTCGACTTGCTTCTGTCTCGTTTCTTCTTCTTCACACGTTTCGCAGTGCCGACTAAACTAAATGCTACGCTTTGTACAAAATTTGAAGAATTCGAGTGCTCCCATTCACCAGCTACGTATTTCTGACACTTGGGGGGTGATGTTTTTAAAGTGTAACTAGCAGTAGGTTTCGAGTAATTGTCCGTAACTACCAAATGCTCATCCGAAAAATGAGTTTTGAGATTGTTCGCTGGTTTGTTATGCAACACCACTGACTCGTAAATATCGTTGTCCACAATAATCGAGTCTTCATCTATATTACAAGGTGGACAGCTCGTACTTTGCACAATGTTGTTAGAATTTTCTGGAATGTTGTTATAGCTATATCCTGGCTGATTGTCTATCAAATTATTTGCTGAGGAGTACAACTTTCTGGAGGAGGGGTTACCTATTTCTTGAAGAAGCGGGGAGCGATGCGCGCTTGCCAACAGGGCTGTACGCAGGGGTGTCTTTTCGAGATCTGGAGCAGAACGAGACCACCGCTTGCCACCTGGTGATGAAGGATTTGGTGGCTGTGTGATAATAGCCCCACGCTCCCGTTGGTGGAGTGTCGATGGTCCCCAAGTCTTACCCTTTACTCCGTCTGCTGGTACTAAAGAAGGAAGACAAAAAACAAAACGCTACTCACTACAATGCTAGTTCTTCCACCTACCCTGGACTCTTTTGAATTCTTTGCGCGTTTCAAAAAGATAAAGATGTTTCTTTAAATGAAATACCCAATTCTTACAGAGAAAGTTCAAATACTTCGGTATTATGAAATTTGTATTTATTATGAATTAGATGTTCAGCGAAATGAAATGACATATCATGTTCTATATTGATACAGTCTCAACATTTTATACTTTAAAATCAAAATAAAAAAAAAGATAATAATAAAAATTAATTTGAAAAGAAAAAAATGTAACATAAACTTTCAAAAATACATAACAGTGTATTCGATTATTCACACCATGCTAATAAAGATAAAATATTAATACAACGTGACTACAAAGCACAAACAATGTGATTCAAAATTTCATGGAAATACTAAAAAATATCTTAGAATAAAATCATTCATATCATACCACACGTACTTAGAATTGTGAACTACTAAAAGTTAATTGAATAAATCACTCACATGCGATTGCCCGAAGTCTTGGAATACTAGGAGAACCTGGTGGACTGTTAGGTCTCGACGGATTCCGCACTTTTCCTCTATCTAGAGCTGTATGTTGAACAGTTATCGTGTGACGGAAATCTAAATAAAAGTATGCATATTATCATTATTGTGACAATGATTTAATGCGCTACTCAGTTACATTAAATTATACGTACCAGAAGGAGCGCTAATGTTACTACCAGGCTCTTTTTTATTTAATTTTAATCTCGATTTCTTGAATTTTCCACGTCTTTTGTTTGGTGTAGGAGTATTTTGTTGTTGAATTATCATTACAGTGAGTTCACGTTCCAATAAGTCTATCTCTCGAGCAGCCAATTCTTGTTCTCGCTGTCTTAAATTTTCTTCGTGTTGTCGTTGTTGTACTTGTGCTTTAGTTAATTCTTCCTCCCTACAGCGCAATTCCTAGTGAACAAATACGTAGAATGATTAAATAAAAGTTAAAAATATATTGTTCCTTTAGTTAGTAAAGTAAATAAATCTGTAATTAGAAACAGAAGTAAATTAAAAATATTAACGATAATTACGATATCTACTTGTCTTACCTCTTCTAAGGAACGGCATTCCTTTGTATAGCATTTGAAAGAATGATTATAAATGTTACTTGTATTGTTACTTTTAAATTACCCAAATTCAACTTACAACACTCTAAATTTTATCTGTATATAGGACTACATATGTGATATACAAAAAAATTGAATTATATACCTTTTCCTTCATGCGCAATCCATGAAGAACTTGTTCAATTTCAAGTCTCCAGTCTTCTTGCATTGTGTGAAAGGACTCGTGTGGCGTTGCTGCAAATGCACTACGTACTTCATCTAGTGCTTCAAGAATTTCAGCAAATCCTGGTCTCGAATGACTGTCTGATGCCCAACAAGCTAAAAAGTAATTGCATGTTCTTCATATTATTTTAGAACTAAATTAAAACAAATTTATTTGTGGTTTTAAAATAAATATTTGCACAGTACTGTACCTTCCATTAAAAACCTCCAAGGCTGAGGGCAAGTTGATGGAATAGGCAATGTAAGTTTATTTACTGCAACTCCGTATGCTACTGCCAATGCATCTATTCCTTTATAGGGTGTTTCACCAGTTAAAAGTTCCCATAAAAGAACACCATAGCTGTAAAGACATTTATTAGTAAGTAATATAATTTATTAAAATACAGTTGACTATGATTAAAGTGACATAGGAGGCACCTAAAACTGACCTCCAAACATCACTGGCTTTACTGAAAGTACTCTTTTTAATAACCTCTGGTGCCATCCAAGCATATGTGCCTGCTGCTGACATGCGTGTTGTCTTATAAACTTCCCTTGCCAATCCAAAATCAGTAATTTTCAATGTTTTATACTGCAGATCGTCATTTTCTATAGGCTCACTTAACAGCACTATTATGAATGAAAATAATATTGTCAAAATATTTATACATTTATCAGCATATACTAAATTTGTGCTAATTACAATCAAAATTTATGTAAACTGCCTTACCATTAGAGCTTTTTAGGTCCCTATGAATAAGACTTATAGGAGCTTTATTATGAAGGTAGTCCATGCCACGGGCAATTTGTATTGCCCAATCAACAAGTACATCAGGCCTGATTTTTCTACCACTAAGAACCCTGTTCAAACTACCCCCACGTGCATACTCCATTACGAGACACATATTTGGCATTTTTAAACAAACTCCTTCCAACTGCACAATGTTTTCATGTTTCAATAACCAAAATAATTTTGCTTCTTGTTGAACATTTTCTAACGTAACACTTGGATCTTCATCTGGATCCTGGCGGGCTGCTTTAACAGCCACTTCATGTTTTTGCCAGAATCCTCTGAAACAATATTAGATGTTACAAATATTATACAAAGAATTATTATATATGTAAATATAAATTGATAACAACAATAGAAAATAATTTTTTATACCTATAAACTTTTCCAAATCCACCAACCCCTATAACTTCTTCTAATTGTAATTCCTCAAAATCAATTTCAACTGGTTGAACCTTATCGATCACCGACGATACTCTATCGATACTCTCTGCTTCTGCAACAAAATTTGCTGGAAAAATTCCAACTTTACCATGGATTTTTCCAGTCCACCATCCTTCATCACCTGAGATTTTTGAATCTTTAGACAGAACCTGAGGCATCAAACAAAATACACATATATTTTCACATTTTAACATAAACTTTTTGGAGTCCACTATCCACTATCATGAACAATTTACCTCAACTGTTTCTCCCCTTTGCAAAGACAATTCATCCTCGCCTTGGGCAACATAATCGAATAATGCAGTGAAAATTGTTGAACTATTGTCCTGCCTTGATTGAGAAGAGGAATGTGTACCATGGGAAGGACTAGTTTGTTGAGAAACAGTTCTTGCTGTGCCACCACTGTGTGTATCGGAAACACTGCTATCAGACATATTGTTGCTAGATGTACGCCCATACAAATATCCGTAACTAAAAAGCAAAGGCTAAATGAGGTTCATATTGTATTTAATAAAATTTATAAAATATCGTTACACCGTCAATTAATAATTTATACCTTGTGGAATGATTATTTGTTCTATTATTATGTTGATATCGTGGAGATGAGTTGGCTGTGTTAGAACTATGAGAATTAGAGGAGCCATTCTCTGGATGAAGTAAAAAGCGCTCGCTCCGATGACGAGCATCTGGTTGTCCGTGGTCCATCAAGGTAGACAAGCCTCTTGCCGATAACCCGGCTGGCGGCATATGGCCTGACACTCTCTATATTCTTTTCCTCTCTGGAAATTACACCTTGTTCGTCTGGTAGCTTTTGTGGAATATCGTGTCAATCGAATGGTGAATAGTAACATAGAATGTTCTAGCTGTGTTATTTGTTTATCTCAAAAGAAAGTAACAAAACATACAGATATAAGAATCAGGGAGTTTTATGTCCACCTTCCATAATTTTCTAACACTGAACACAAATCCTTGTACATTTCACATTATTTTATACACATGTCTCTCGAAATCATTATTAACACGCAAACGTAAAATAGTTACGTGACATTCCGAAGGCGTTTTAAATGTACGCACACGTTTCGCGTAAAAAATGTGGGGTGAGAGAAGGTGATCACCACCACTAACACCCCGTGCATAAAAACACTTTAACAGTGACCGGCATTTTGATTCGCGAGTCCGGCACCAACGCGTGAGGATTTCGTGATTTTTCGTCGAGTATCATAATCCTACTAGAATCACTACGGAATGAAATTTTAGAAGAGTAGAAAAAAGCTCGATATGCCGAAAACCACTGTGGAGTCTCGCGTCGGGGTGTGTATACCCACAAGCCACTGTTGACGAAACCGAATCTCCTCATTGAATTGGGATTAAGAGCAATGTACGCGGGACGTGCAGGGTTGATAGCGACGTGTTCGCCTCCCGGAGGACACGACGCTTCGCGTCAGCCCGCAAAACGCACGATGATTCCACATTTAATGATAGAAAACGCAGCAGCACTCATAGCAATAACCTAACGGACGCCATGTTTCGTTTGACGGCCCTACCGTTGACGTGATGATATATTAGACCACGATTCATAGGGAGGACATTTGAAAGGCCGCTTAAGTTGTTTCAGCTGCATAAGGTTTATCCACAATGAAGTAAAAATTAAATTGTTACAGAAAAAATTGTAATTTTACTAAAATTTAGTATAATAATAAACTCGTTCTGTAAATCTTGTGATATTTTAATAATAGGGAATATTCTTAGGCGGCAACATCGTTTTTCTTTGGTTGCTGCAATTGATGTCAATGATTCGTTAATGTTAAGCGGTTTTAACGAAAATTGTAATCGCGCAGACCACGTATACAATTGTATGGTTTATGTCCAAAATCATCTGAGAAGTGAAGATGGCTGTGGAGTCAATGAATTGTGTGCGCCAAATCCATTGATTGAATAAGGCCAAGATAAAATGTATCGCCTTATTGTTTGCTACACGATTTTTCGAAAGGGAAAAATAAACTAAGAATACAGCTGTGGAATAGCAAGTGATGGGAAGATGGTGAGGGAGCACATTTGCCACTGGTATGGGTTCTCAAACGCTGGATATTTTGAGACAAGGCGTCTGGGCGAGCCTGACAGGAGGCTGGTTTTACGATCCTCATCTCGACGTTTTTTCAAATACCTTTCATCTTTATGTTTGGCTTTTCTTGCTCTGCCTTCCATTTACCATATACCTTGTAAGTCAGTTTGCACACATATTAATCTTAGTTTATAAATTAACGTTTACATAAATTGTATGTGTTTACATTACTATATAAGTACATAATTAAAATACATGCATTATGTGCTTGCAAGTTTCTTATACATATCTTTAATATTTTTATTTTGAATGTACTATCGTACATTCATAATTATGTACTCATCTATTTAATGTGGAAAATTATTTTTCATCTTGTTACAGTACTTTCCACCAACATTATATGTCTGGTTAGCATATTGTTTTTCAATTGGAGCACTTTTCGGTACAATAAAGTGTGTCAATCATGCACTTCATTGTGTGTATGATACCACTGAATGTTTAGAGGAATCAGGGCAGAATGTCAGTCAACAAAGGTCAGAAAATGAGAAGGGACGCATAGCACATAACAAATGCAGGGAACAATCTCAAGATCAAATAGATCATGGAATAGAGCTACAAGTTTTAAATGGTATAGTAGATTAAGTCTTATATATTTAAATTTTGTATTATAATAATAATTATATTATTTATAACATTGATGATTTTATTAATTTTTAAAACATTTGTAGTTTTTGTATTATATTTACATTTTGTTCATTCAAAATAACATCTACTATAAAAATTTTGTTATTAAATTATAATTTTTTTATAGGTAAAACAGATACACCACCTGTAGAATGCTCATCACGTAATTCTTTTATTGAATCAAATGTGCAAAATGCAGATGCAGATAGTATAACATCAGAATATAATCGAGATAAGCCTAGTTCAACTATAGATTTGAAAGTAGAAATTCACCGTAAAAATAGTTCAGAAAGTTCAGAAGAAGCACAGCAGTTCACTAAACGAGTAGTACCCAGTACAAATGTACATGAAGCAGAATTAGCTTCAGCGACTGAACCATATTATCTAAATATAATAAATGGTATTGATTCTACAATTATCGTGGCATAAGTTCTATTATTTGAATACTTTTTTGTGCACTAATATTTATGTTTAAACTTTTTAAATACACATAGAAAGAAGATTGAAACGAAATAGGTATATGACTATTACCGATGAAAGGAGAAAAGCAAAAAGGAAGTTGTGTAGGCATGCATCCGAAGATTCACGAAATCGTCATTCCAAACAGTGTAGTCTTGGCAAAACAGGTTCTGAAAGTCAAATTAAACAAACAAGTTCATTGGAATTAGAGCATCATGTAGATGAATTTTCTTACTGGAAATTTAATCAGAGTGTACGGCGTCTTAATTCTAATTCAATTCCAATGGAAACTCATTTAACAAATGATCACCCACAAAGTTTAGAAATTATATCGAAAAAAGAAGACACAGATAAAAATAAAATTTCATCGCATCCACAATCGTTAGAAGTAAGAATTACAAATATTTACAATTTTTTTATAAATGTACTCAAATAATTTAAATACTGTTTCTTTTAAGGTTATCACAAAAAAGCCACATCAACAACTTATTCATCCACAAAGTCTTGAAACAATTGGTGCTGCTAGTAAGAATATAAATACTACAGATGACAATAATTTACCACTTCATCCGCAAAGTCTTGAAACAATCAATGCTAAAAAGGTATTCTTGTAAATACTTTATTAATTCACGCATTTAGTATTATACTTCATCAAAAATATATATCAATTTTAAAGGTATTACCTCAAAATACACTAAAAAAAAATCAACTACAATTATTACCATATCTTAGTTATGGATCAGAAATAGTGCATCCTATAGCAGAACAAAGCGATGAACAATTTGCTAATGAAAGTTCTGGAGGGTATAGTCTTAGAGACTCTTACAGTCCATTACTTACTCGAAAGACTTGTGAAACAAATGCTACCTCTAATCGGGACAGAAGTCTTAGTACTAGCCGATTCGTAGATAGATATTCAAGGTAATACATAAATGAGACCATGAAATTATAGTTGTAGAAAGATATCTCTTTAAATTTATCTAAATTTCAGATTTTATGGAGACGATGATATAGATAATGATTTTGCAAATTGTAAAGACGCATTAATTGAAGAATTAAAGCGTCACTGTATCAAAAGGAGATACAGTAATGCAAGCCAAAGCAGTCATGAATTCTCTGATGCTGAGAAACCCAAAGATAAGCAAGATAAACTGAAAAATATGGATGACCCATTAAATGTTGGAAGCGTAGTCGGAATAGACCGATTATTTGAAAGTAGTGATTGTACACTGGAACAAAGAACAAATAAAAGTAAACTTACTTTTTGAATAGCTAATATTAGATAAATGTAATATTAAAAAATTTATAACGGTCAATTGATATCTAATCGCATATCCTTTTGTTGAACAGATATGCATAATAAAGAACCAGATTCTGGTTCGTCTAGTACAACGACTTTGAGTATGGAAAACGAGGTAAAGAGAAAGTTACTTCCGCCATTAGAAACAGATAACAAACGACATCAAGGTGCGATACCCAAACAAAGCCGTCCAAAACCTGCAGTAGAAACTATAGATGATAATACAACTACCGAACACATCTGGACGAAGCGTAGACGACCATTAGTTATAATGTTATCTTCTGGTCGGGATTTATCCGATTTGAGATTAAGTCGTAATGCAGAGAATCGAAGTTTACGATCAAGACGAGATGCTTTGAAACCTCTGGGTAGACAAGATCCACTACGAGATAAAATTCGAGACGACAGAGTCGTACCGCTCACTGATTTATTTGAATTAATATCAAATGATGGGTGTCATTTAGCTGCCAACCACAACGATACAGAAATACCCTTCGAAATTGGACGTTGGTTGGCTTATACAGTTGATGAAAAAGGATCTACTGTTGCTGCTGCTGCACAAGTTCCTTCGAATAATAATGATAAATTGTTAAATACTTTATTACGCCAACAATTGAATCAAAATTTACATTATGACACGAACTGGGAGATCGCAGATTCTTTGAGTAATAGTTACAGCAGTCTGTCTTTAAACTCTGCTGGATTAAGTGTCATAATAGATACTCCACCCGTTTTATCGAGTCCAGAAAGCAATCAAACTAAAGCACAGAACTCAGTAGCATCAAATTTAGTTTCTTCGAATCAGTGTACCATAGAAACTTTAGAACCTGATCAGTTTCATCAAGATATAATATCACGTATAGAGTCAATGAGGGACAGAAATCGAGGGTTACAAAATTTATTAGGATACTTAAATGTAAATCTTTATCAATCAGCCTCAAATTGGCGAATGCCAGCTTTGACGTTACCAACGCATCAAGAAACTGATATGAATGCAAGTTTATCGTGGAATCGATTAGGTGGTTTCGATGCATTTGATTCTAAACCTAAACAAACAGGACATTATTACAAATGGAAAATTGGCAAATTACCGCATATAAAAGTGCGGTTCGATCGTCTTTTTTTATTGGCTTTGTTAGATCGAAATTTGACCATTTTTGAAACCATTGTTTCGACGTTTTTAGCAATGGCTGTTGCGGGATTGGGACTCATACTACTTCAACAAGGTCTTTACCGAGATATATTTGCTTTTATGTTCTGTTTTGCAACCGCTGGATGTCAGTATTCATTGTTAAAATCTGTTCAGCCTGACGCTGCTTCACCGACACACGGTTTTAATCGCATTATAGTATTTTCTCGGCCTATATATTATATACTGTGTTCAGGGTTTATATTAATCTTTAATGAATTTTTAAGAAATTTCAAAGCATCTGAATTTCGAGTATACGGTTTCCGAGTTGCTGATTACGATGTTATATTACAAATTCGAAATATTTTATTAATTTTCCTGTTATGTTTCCCAATCGTATTTTCATTGGGTTTATTTCCTCAAATCAACACCTTTTTGATGTATCTCTGTGAACATATAGATATTCATTTATTTGGTGGAAATGCAACGACTAGTCTAGTCTCTTCAGTATATTGTCTTTGTCGAAGTATAGTTACTGTTGTCATACTATACGGATTTGCTTATGGAGCACTCACAGAACCTAAATCCTCGCAACATATTTTATTTTCTATTTTTGCGGGTTTATTAGTTGCTATATCTTATCACTTGAGCCGATCATCTTCAGATCCCACAGTAATATGGGACATTGTAAAAACGAATTTGTGGCCACCAGAAATTTATACAGAAGAAAAAGAAGCCAAAATTATTGAGAACACGTCTCGCAGAGATAATTTATCTACAACATACGAAGAAGCAAAAATCAGAACTACAGGAAGAAAGAAGCATGTGAAAATTAAAGTTGGTGAACAGATGTCGGATACAGAATTAGTGGATCCTTTACCTGAAAAATTAAGAGCAACAGTAAACTCAAGATTAAAAAATGATTTAATAGTATGTGCTGTGATAGGTACCTTATCATTTGGTATCCATTGCTCTACTGTATTTACAGCTTTACAACCCGAGTTAAATCCAGTTTTATGGGGTATTGTAAGCTGCCTAGGATTTCTATTACACTATATCGTACCACAGCTTCGGAAGCAGTTACCATGGCTATGCTTGTCAAGACCAGTACTACGTAGCCATGAACATGCACAATTTGAAGTACGTGAACCAGTGAAGATTATGTGGTTTGAGAAGGCATATGTTTACCTCTCATTCCTAGAAAGAAATGTTCTCTATCCGATAGTATTCTTAGGAGCACTTACCGAATGTTCATCAAAAATAGTAAACAAATTTGGAGAAAGCATGGGTGCATTAATTATAGTTGTGTGTGGATTGAAATCTTTGAGATCCGCATACTCTGATCCATCAACTCGATATCTGGTTCTTATTTTTGCAGTGTTATTTTTCAAATTAGATTTCCGAGAACTGAGTGAAACATTTCTTGTGGATTATTTTGTAACTGGAATAGCGTTTGCAAAGATTTACGAATTACTATTGAAAATAAGATTTGTCGTTACATATATCGCACCTTGGCAAATCACTTGGGGTAGTGCGTTTCATGCATTTGCCCAACCATTCTCAGTCCCACATTCTGCCATGTTATTCTTACAAGCGGGCATTTCTGCAATTCTGAGTACTCCGCTAAATCCACTCCTGGGAAGCGCAATTTTTATATCTTCATACGTACGTCCTGTGAAATTTTGGGAAAGGGATTACAAAACGAGAAGAGTGGATCACTCAAATACACGAATGTCTTCGCATTTAGATCGAAATCTAGGTGCGGATGATAATAATCTAAATTCAATTTTCTATGAACAATTGACGAGATCTTTGCAACACAGTCTTTATGGAGATCTTGCTCTTGGTCGTTGGGGAAATGTGGAACAAGGCGATTGTTTTTTATTAGCATCAGATTACTTGAACTGCTTAGTACACGTTGTTCAATTAGGCAATGGATTAGTAACTTTCCAATTAAGAGGTCTTGAATTTAGAGGAACGTATTGTCAACAGAGAGAAGTACGCGTTCTTTTAACGAATTCCATTAAATTACATTCCGCATTTATCGCAATGTTTAGTATCAGTGTAATGATTTTGATTTTTAGGTAGAAGCAATTTCTGAAGGAATTGAAGACAACGATGATTGTTGTTGCTGTGAAATGGGACATTTTTCGAATGTATTAAGTGTAAATGCAGCTTTCAGTCAGCGTTGGTTAGCCTGGGAAGTTGCGAGTGCGAAGTATGTTTTAGAAGGGTACTCGATTTCCGATAATTCAGTAGTTTCTATGCTCCAAATGTTTGAGTATCGTAAAGCATTGGTTACCTACTACGTGAAAAGTATTATTTTTTATGCTGTTAAATCAGCCAAATTGAAATACTGGTTGGGGAATTCCGATATTTCTGATGCCTTAAAAATAACACTTGACAAGAATTTTGTGGACCTGGATCCCGTTTTTAAAATGAACATCGATGAGGATTATGATTTTCGCGCCATTGGTATTACAAGAAGCAGTTTTTGTAATGTTTATTTGGATTGGATACAATTTTGTGTTACCAAACAAGATAAGGTAATTCTTTTAACATACGATAGTTTTAAAACTTACACAGCACTGTTTCTTTCTAATTTTTCTTAGACACTAGATAAATCAAGGGATTCACCATTGGTGTCTCTATGCCTTGCGTTGAGTCTTTTGGGGAGACGTGCTTTAGGAGCAGCATGTCACAATACTCTGACCAGTGTTGAATTTTTTATGTATGGATTGCATGCACTATTTAAAGGTACTATTTCAATTGGACACTGTACAGACATTGATATAATGAAATTATAATTTCATAAATATATATTTCATATTCAGGAGATTTCCGCATAACATCGATTCGAGATGAATGGGTGTTACATGATGTTGATTTATTACGGAGCGTTGTGGCAAAAGGAGTACGCATGGCGTTGAAGCTGCATCAAGATTATTTTATGAGTCCAGATTTATATGCTGAACTATCCGCCCTTTATGATGCTATAGATAATCACGATAAAAATCTTGTAATTAGTCATGAAGCTGATCCATTATGGAGAAATGCTGTTTTAAATGGAGCACCCAGTCTTCTAGCACTTAGGTACTTTAATGGAGCAATATTTATAAGTGTTAAAATGTTATTATATTATTAATATTATTTATATTCTATATTTATAGACACATCCTTGATGACGGCATTGACGAATACAAAGTGATTATGCTTAATAAACGATTCTTAAGCTTTCGAGTAATTAAAATGAATCGTGAATGCGTGCGTGGCCTATGGGCTGGGCAGCAACAGGAGTTAGTATATTTAAGAAATAGAAATCCTGAACGGGGTTCCATACAAAATGCAAAACAAGCCCTCAGAAATATAATAAATAGCTCTTGTGATCAACCAATTGGGTATCCCATTTATGTTTCACCATTAACAACCAGTTACGCAGAGACTAATGAGCAATTATGTTCTATAGTTGGAGGACATTTAAGTCTCAGTGTAATTAAACGTAATGTATTAAAGTTATGGCAAAGGTGAGTTTTTCTAGTATAATAAACTGGTATAAATTGTATTTAAACGATATTAATACATTATAAAGTTTATTATTATTGGCAGTATTATTTTCAGAATTAGAAGAAGGTGCGGTCAAGGTTGTTCATCTGGCGGGACGGGATCCCAAGATGACGGAGGTTTTGGAAACGATGGAGTGTATGCAATGACCACTTATAATATTCATCCAGGTATTTGTAATTATTATTCTTTATTGATTTTAATTAAATGACAAAATAAAACAGGACTTTAACATAGGGTATAGTCAATCGGGTTACAATACATCTGGTTCACAATCTATGGATTCTGGATGTCAGATTGGTGGATCAACTGGACGTGGTTCTTTAGGAAGGGCAAATACAGCATCTCTCGGTGGAAATAGGGGATCATTGGCTTCTGTTGGAAAGCCTACAAGCTCAACGCTTGCCAATTTAGCCGGTCTTCTTAGTAACAGTGACATTAAAACTGAAACTAAGAGTGAAACTAGTTTTTCTGGTAAGGTTGAGAAGGAAGAAGTTCTCCAAAGAGTACGCGTAAGTAGGAAATTTATTTTGCTTCATAATTTAATTACTTTGTAAAGTAAAAAATTGCATAATAATTTGATCTGTTATTAGATCATAGATCCCAATCAAGTATACGATGCAATTAATTTGGGTCGTCGAATAGATGTGATTTGGCCAGATGAAAGAATGAGACAACAGGGTGGTAGATCTGGATGGAAACATTGGGTACCCGAAAGAGGTATGGAAGGATGTGTTGTTCATTGTTGGTCTCCTAATCATCGTGATCCAAATCGACGATCTCATGTGGATAAAGTTATCTTACTTGTCAAAATAGACGATAAGTATGTTCCGATAGCGGAACAGGGTGTACGAGATTTAGGAGCAGAAGTGTGATGAAGTATTTTTTAATATTCTTTAATAATACACACTCTGACAATTTTCGTACAGTCATTTTTTCAAAACACTCACGGCGAATAGTAATATGAATCCATTAAAAATAAAAATTCATTCCAATTATAAAATAATAAATACAAAGATTTTTGATGAAAAATTATTCTTGAAATTGTACATAATGAAAATCGACGTATTTTAAAACTAGTTTGTTAATTCCATTATAATATACGTATAACTACAAAATACTCTTCTCTATGCAACTTTTCGGAGATTTTCATTCGCTCAACATATCTTTTTATTAATATTATTCATTCGCTTCTGCATTCCTTTCATTGCAATAATTATTCGATAGTCGCAGATCTCCAGAAACATTTTACGAAAATATTATAAATTTGAAAGTTTACATCAATCGTAATAAAATATTTTGTCATTTATAATTGCGATGGAAAGATTATCTTCTTACATGTTTAATGAAAAGACTAATATTGATCGTCAAGTTATTCAATACAAAGTAAATTGTACCATGTTGTATTATACCATGTACCATATAACTACTAGATGATTTAGCATGAGAACTACATGTTACTTGTTGTTAAACTAAGTTATTACGTTTTTTTCACTTTGACATAAAATATTCATTGGTTGTATTCGTTATTTTCTGTTAATTTGCTATATAGAAATTATTTATTATGATATTAATAATTATATAAAATATTTTTTGTTCAATATACATAAAAATGAAGAAAGTACAAAAGCCATTAACTATATCAATATTTATATTTTGAAGTTATAGCAAATGTGATTTATAGGACATAGCTAAAATTAATAAGATTATACGCAAAGAGAATGTTGTAGATGGTCATAAATTGTGGTATATATTAGAAATAAATAGACATATTCGGTATTATTATCGAATATGCGCATTCAATAACAACAAGTAACATAAGTAGAAATTTGTATATAATGTCATTCGTTCTTTTCTACATTTTGTTACATTTTTTTTAAACTACATACATATATATATATATATATATATATATATATATA